TCCTTCGCTCTGAGCGGGAGTGAGGGACCGTCCGCCGAATTGCCTCCGAATAGCTGGATGTGCCGCTCCTCTCTGGAGTGGCCGCCCCAAGCACCTGCTAGCCAGGTTGGTGCCTGGAGCCGGCCCTGATGCCAGCATAGCTACATTGGTATAGCCTCTGTAGTATAGATGTACCCTGAGTGAAAAGGAAAAGAGTTTAAGAAGGGGAGGGGGGCAGTTCCCAGCTGGTATAAATCAGTGTAGCCTTGTTGAAGTCAATAGAATTAGGCCAATTTATACCAGCTGATGATCCTGCCCAGAGAGGGGCAAGTTGCATTCTCGTGTTTAAAGTGGTGTATAGTAAAGTTGCACGTCACAGCAACAAGCAATCAAAAGAAAAAGATAAGTGGCAATTTTCTGAAGTGAAATGACTGGGGGGCGGGGGAAAGTAGAGGTGGGTCCAAGCCTTGCTGACATCACAACCAGCTCCTATAATAAGGGGGAGAGGTTTATACTGAAGATGAGAGAGATCCAGCCAGCCAGGGCAGCTGCTCACCTATTTGTAAAGGACTGGAGTGGGGAAAAGGGTCTCATCAGTTGCCTCCCTCACTCTGCACACGAAGGCCCACGAGCAGCAGAGGTAAGTGGAGGACAAGATCACATAAGATCTAAGCTGTGGTTCGTTTTTCATTTCTCCCCTGCTGAAAACGTGGGTTCGCTTTTCATGGAAACTTTTTAAATTGAAACCCAAATGTCCTGTTTTGTGGGGAGGGGGTATGTTTAATTTTGGTCCAGGAAAGAGATTTTAAATGGTCAAACTAATCATCCTCATCAAATAGAATATGATCATGCTTTGTGCTTTGGTAGTAAAAGGACCCCAAGCTCTCGAGGAGTTAGACACTGTTTGATCACTAGGGTTTTCCCAGACAGCAAAATGGTTTTCCGCACCATTTTACAGATGGGGAAACTGAGGCACGGAGAAGGGAAGCAACTCTCCTCAAGATCACCCAAGACTGCTGCTAACACCAGTTCTGTTGCACTGGTGGAAGCAACACTGAGCATGTACATAGCCCAGGCTCCCGCCAGCATTTTAAACACCGCATGGTCTAACCCGGTTCAAAATAGGGCTAGTCAAAATGGAACTTAAAACACTGGCAGCAGCAGGGGGCACATCTCCAGTAGGACTCCCTATGTTGCTACCTCTAATGGATATGAATTGGTGTTAGCAAAAAATGGGATTTTTTGTTCAAAATGTCCCTAATATAGACCAGGCTAAAATGAGCTGGGGGCGGAATTTTGGGCTCCTGGCTCCCAGCCTTGTGCTGCGCTGGTTTGTCACAAGAGAACGTTTTGCCCCATAATCATGAAATGGCTTTTTGACCAAGCCATGCGGAGCAATTTGAGTCTAAAACTACACACTGTGTGTGAAATCCTGTCTCCATCAAAGTCAATGGCAAAACTCCCATTGACTTCCGTGAGGCCAAGATTTCACCCTTATCTGCATGACCACTTGCTCTTACTCCTCAACTATTTAAAGTCGCTAGAAAAGGAATTTTACAGGGACTGTCAGTCCAACAAATTTTCTCCACATATAGAGAGAGAGAGAGAGAGAGAGAGTGTGTATGTTGCTGAGTGGAAAAATGATCATATACGCCTGTGTTTCTTATGTTTTCTCAAGAACTCCAAAGACCTGGAAAGGAATAAAATCATTCAATTTAATTTTAGAATGTCCCTGCATAGGAAGAAACTGTCCTAATTACCCTGTGTTTCAAGGCTTTTATTTTTTAGTAATAAATGGCCGTGTTCGGATCTGCCCGACGTGTGCACTTTGAGCTAATGCAGCATCCCTTTTCTTTAGAAGATAGGGACGGTTTCCTGGAATTGATTAAAAGCCGGTTTGACTTCTTGTAAGATGCAAGGGAACAAATGAAAAGGGTGAACAGCCCTGTTCGTTCCAGATAGGCTGTTCTGTTTAGAGAGATACGGATATAAAATATCAGCCGGTTGCTGTGACCCATAGCAGGTGACAGACAAAAGTGTCCCAATCTGCCAGGAGACATTGCAGTGTTAGCCTGCTGCAGTTAACCTGGGGTCTGCTTAAGATGAACACATTAACTCCATTAACGGAGCACAGTGAAGGGTCCAAGGACAGACGAGAATTCTTTGTGCAGTTTAGTTAAGGGTCCTTATTGCCAACAAAGAGTGCGGGATTGGCAGCCCTGGAGATGATTCTCTTTATTTATGATTTGTGTTGCAGTAGCGCCTAGAAGCCCCCGTCCTGGCCCAGGACCCATTGTGTAAGGTGGTGGATAAACACAGAACAAAAAGATAGTCCCTGCTCCAGGGAGCTCACAATCTAAGATGAGATGACAGTTGGAGACAGACACACACAGATAGGGGAGCATAGGAAACAGACAGAATGGGCCTGATTTTTCAGAGGCGCCAATTCACCAACAGCTCCCGCTGGCTTCACGTAGGGCTCTGGGTGCTCAGGGCTTCTGAGGGTCAGGCCCAGAAGTTCGTCAGCTACAAAACAGGCACAGGAACGCCAGCTTCCCCCGCCCCCCAGGAATGCGCCTCAATTCTGAGCAGCAGGCGCCGCTTCTTAGTGAGAGGATTCAGGCCCGTGTTCGCGCCCGTCGGCTGCGTTGCTACCTTGTTGGCACTGCGAGCTAATTGGAGCGGACAGTGATGAAGTTTCTATGCGGTTAATTGAAGGAACAGGCCTGAGATAGGGCTGTCAGCTCGTACAGACAACCGAAGAGCCCCAACAGCCACAGACGGAAAGGAGGACGTTCCTGTGGTTAGGGGGCTGCCTTGGAACGTGGGGCATCCAGGTGCCATTCCCAGCTCTGCCACTCCCTGGATGCCCTTGGTCTCTCTGTGCCTCAGTTCTCCCTCAGTAACATGGAAATAACAGCACTGCCCTACCTCACAGGGGCGTTGTGAGGTTAATTACATCAAAGGCTGCGAGGTGTTCAGATCCTACCATTATGGGGGCCAGACAAGTACCTCAGCTCAAGAGACACAGGCAGGATTCGAATTCATGACCTAGACGTGAGAGGCGTCCTGGGTAAAGTTCTCAAAAGCGTGTAAGTCCCATTTCCAAAAGCAGCTTTGGCCCCCATGAGCCTAGGCCTGAGTAGGGTGACCAGACAGCAAGTGTGAAAAAATCAGGACAGGGGGTGGGGGGGAATGGGAACCTATATAAGAAAAAGACCCAAAAATCGGGACTGTCCCTATAAAATCGGGACATCTGGTCACCCTAGGCCTGAGTGAAAGTCAGCGGGTCTGGTATGTCCCAAGGGACTTCTAAAAATGGGCCTGAGACTTCACCATCTCCTTTTCCTCCTCTCTCCTCACCACCTCTCGTTTCAGCAGGGAGCCCTTTGTAGCTGCCCTTGGCATTAATCTGCTGCAATACTGACCCCACCTGCAGGGACAGGGGTGGTTTTTGATGTGTCTTTGGCTGGGCCTGCTTGCTGAGCTCAGCTTTCATCTGCCCATATTGATCCCCTTGTTCAAAGGCTCCGTGCGCTGTTAGCCACCCCCTGTAGCCTCTATCTCCGCTCCTGTAGCTGCTGGCACGTGGATGAAAGGGAGGGGGCTGGCTGTCCTGCCACCTTCGGCCCTGTTTTGCTTTGTATCCCATTAAAACCCCTCTGTAAGGACCGATCCCGCGCGCAGGTCCAGTGCATCGTGTGCTTCACTTTGTGCCAGTGAGCAGCCCCATTCATTTTGGTGGGAGACAGATGGGGGGAATGACGGGTGTCTGAACTCTATAGTCTACCCACAATTCCCTGCAAAAGGGGTGAGGGAGCCATTTTAAATTGTAGTCAGCTGAGCTTGCTACTTCCAGCAGAGTCAATATGCAGTGACTCCACTGCAGAGCATAGAGCCACCCCGGGTTTGTATCTGTGTCACCGAGAGCAGGCGATATCCCAGAGACTCTCCCTTTAAAGAGCAGAACATTCCGGGAGACTGGAAACCATCTGACCGATTGTTGTTACTTTCTTCTTCCTTCCTCTGTGTTCTCTCCCCCGTTGTCTGATATTTCAGGTCTGAGCCAGCCCGGGATGAATCCTTTCAGCTCCATGCTCCTGCTTCTCTTCTTCTCCAATGCTCCGTTTGGGGAACCCGCAGAAAGATCTTTCCCCTTCTGGAGCCCTCGACACACAGGTAGCACGATTGCCCGTGGAGATCCTGCATTGAAAGCCACTCGCTTGGAATCGAAAGGGTCATGTCTCCCAAAGAGGTTGTGTGAGCTTGGTGCATAGCCCCGGCACCTCTAGGCTTGGCACATCAGTTCTGAAAGTAAAAATATTGCTTGAGCCCAGGGACCTCTTTCATTACAAATTAAGCACTGCTGGTTGTTAACTGATGCCTTGAGGCCAGGAGCCCCTTGTGCCAGGCGCTGTACAAACACAGAACAGAGAGACAGTCCCTGCCCCAAACAGCTTCCACGCTTTTAAAAATTACAAATGTTTGTATTTGGTCGGGTGTAGCTGCGCAGGCTGCCCTCAGTCGAAATGAATCTGATTTTCAGGGGTGCTGAGCACCCACAACTCTTGTGAAAGTCAAGGGGAGCTGCGGGTGCTCAGCTCCCCCCTGAAAAACAACCCCCCGAGGGCTACATTTTCAGAAGAGCTCCGGGCGAGATTTTCAAATGCTCAGGGCTCCCACAGTCAGGGCCCGACTTTTCCGAAGCGCTCAGCACATTGGATTCAGAGCAGGGTCCATATTCAAGTGCCCGTGAGCTCTTGGGGACAGAGACTGTGGGTCTGTACAGCACCTAGCACAATGGGGCCCTGATCGTGGCTGGTCCTTTGGCATTTCTGTAATCAACACCATTGAGTCATAATAAATGGGAGCTGAGTTCTTCTGAAAACCTTTGGGGCATCTTATGAAGGCTCTGTAAATCCTCTCCCTGTTCTGGGCCCTGGGCGCTCCACCGCTAACTCGTGCATTGCTAAATTTCCAAAGCTTGACGGGTGAATGTGGGGAGCAGGATGGAGAGGGGGCAAAGAGAAGGAGTTGGGGGAAATGTGGGGGTAAGATTATGGCAGGCCCTGTGAATTCTTTACTATTTATTTGTTTGGATTGCGGTGGTGCATAGGAGCTTCAGCCACGCACCAGGACCTCATGTGCTGGGTGCAGTGCAAACACAGAACAAAAAGACAGACTCTGCCCCAAAGACACTGCCTGCCACTTGCCACTGGTGAGTCTGACACTGACCACTTTCCCTCCTCAACTCCTTCTGCGCCTTTCTCTGTAGGTGACCATTTCAAATACCTGGCCAGCCCGGCCCACTGGGATCAAGCCATTCCTTGCTCGGAAAGCAAGCCCAGCCCTGGGAAGGCAGAACCAAGATCCACGCCACCCCTGCTGTGCAAGCCGCAGGAGGACAGCCAGGTCCAGCTGGGGCAAGGAATCCATCCGGCCAGGAGCAGAGCCATCTCTGTCCCCCAGGGCTCGCTGCTCGTGGAGCGGGAGAAGGATCTCTCCGCCTACAACTGGAACTCGTTCGGCTTGAGATACGGCAAGAGGCAAGCAGACACCAGGGAAGCCAAGGTGAAAATATTGTGAAGCCAAGAAGCAGCTGGAGCTGGGGGTAAGGGTGGGGGGAGGGAGGTGGGTGAATCAATTGCAGCAAGTGACGTAGCTTTACAATGGATTCTCAAGCATTCTCTGCTTTCTGTCCTAAGGGTGCTGGAGGAAGGCATGGGGTGGGATGGAGGGGATGGGAGGGGATGGAGCATG